TTTCTTTTCCAGGGGATCTTCCCAATCCAGGGATCGAACCCAGGTCTCCTGTATTGCAGGCAGATTCTTTACCAGCTGAGCTACAAGGAAAGCCCTCTTGTGTTTTCTAATAGGGTTTCCTCACCCCCCGAAGAGCTCTATGTCTGTTAGGGCCTTTATATGATCAGGTTCTTTATGTTATTTTATGATTAGGGTATTATAAGCAATCATGCATATTAGTACCAAGGGCGTAAATGCATTTGCCAAACAAACTAAAATACCAGCAAAGGAGTTAAAACACTCCTTTCACTTTGGATAATCTCATAAAATACCACCACCTGGGAAACTTATTGATTAAAGTTCTAAATTGATTCTTATTTGGGAAGAGATCAGGGAAGGCCTTCTGCCTGTGTCACAGAAATTAGGGAGTGGTCTATTGAGGCAGGCGTCAGAAAGACAGATATCATCTTGAAGGTGAGCGCCGGGGACAGCTTTTTAAAATCCCTGAAAACCTGATCTGCCTTGCCTGTCAGGCTTTCTCCTCATGACCTTGTCATGGGTAGGGTCTTGTGTGTTGGCTCCCAGCAAGCGGTGTGGTCAGGATTTGTTGACCTTGCTGTATAAATGTTTTACTCCAAGAAAGAGCTTTAAAAATACAAAGAAGGTAAATATAGCTATTGTAGCTTTATTTGAATTACTGTTTCTTTGGTCCACCTTATGTTTAGCCTTTCTGTGTATTTTATTTTAGGTTATATAGGTGCACTTTGTGTATCTACTTGGGGAGTTTTTTGCATCCAGTAGGTGAGTTTAGTCCTTTTGCTTCAGTTACCCATCCATTGGACTTACTTCTGCTCATTTTGTATCTTTTGGCTCCTAATCTTTGTCTTTGCTTTTCACCTTCTGTTGAATTTTTTAAACTTCCCTTTCCTTCTCAGCCCTTAATTTGTTATCTTTATTCTTTCATATAAAGTGAATGAGTCTCCATTCTCCACCTGAATAAGACAACTCTGTGCCTGGGAGGAGGTAGGGGCAGATGATCTGAAATGTTGCCCATGTCTGTAGGGAGCAGAGTCTGCCTGGGAGGCCGAGTGCTGAGGCCAACTGCGGGAGGGGCCAGGCAGTGACTGGCTCCTGCATCCATCCCAGGAAGCCCAGGGTACCAGGGGATGGCAGCTTTGCATCTGTGTGCCCTGCCTCAGGTGAGCATCTGTCTTCCCTGGGAGGCGGGAGGTCTTCTCCCAGGGCTTCCCTGTCTGCTCGGCCTTAGCAAACTGTCAGGCTTCTCTGGTGTGGGATGTTGAGGGGTGCTGAGCAGAGGGAGGGTGACCTTGAGGTTGCCTAGCCTCCCTGAATGGGTTGGCTCAGCAGCCAAAGGGTCAGGGCCCACCCCTCCCCTCACTACTCCAGGCCACACATGCAGGGTCAGGCCTGTGGTCACCCCTGGGCTACTTCTCTAGCCCAGGGCCCAGCCTGAGCCACGCCTGGGCCTCAGCAGCTCCTGTTGTTACAGGCTGAAGTGACCTTCGAGGACGTGGCCGTGCTTCTTTCGCAGGAGGAGTGGGGCCTTCTGGGTCCGTCTCAGAAGGGCCTCTACAGGGAAGTGATGCTGGAGACTTACAGGAACCTGCTATCGCTAGGTGAGGCCCTTCGCTGGGATGCAACTCAAGGAACAATCCTGGGGGCTGAGGACTGAGCAGGGGCTGGGCTGGGGGCCTCATCCCCTGAGTTCAGAGACATATCACTGACTCTGGTCCCAGGCAGGCCTGGTCTGCACAGCAGAGGGCCCCAGATGAGACTGCCTCCCTTCCCCAGGCCCAAGGCAGATGCGCCCCTTGGTGGAGAGAGCCCTTGTGCTCAGATCTTCAACTGCATGCCCATGCCCACCCCTCCAGGGAGTATCCAGACTTCCTGTCACCCCTGCACGTGTATGTCCTCTCCCTTGGCAGTTCTGGGTCAGCCCGCACTGTGTCTGTGGCACCCACCCCAGGCCCCGTCTCCTTCCCAGGAGCTGGACTTGCAGATCCCAAGCCGGAGGTGATTGTACAGTTGGAGCGAGGGGATGAGCTGTGGGTGCTGGACATGCATGGGGCAGAGCAACCAAGCGTGGATGGCTCAGGTGCGTGGGGGGCTGCCACCCCAACTCACCTGCTGAATAAGCATGTGTGGGGGCCCACAGAATGTGGTACCAAACTGACTCATGGGTTTGGAGGAAGATGGTCAGTGCAGTGGCCCTGGGAGTGGCCTCTGCCAAAACCTGGGTGCTCTTTCTTTTAATTGAAATATAGTTGATTTACAGCATTGTGTTAGTTTCAGGTGTACAATTTAGTGATTCAGTATTTTTACAGATTATATGCCTTTTATTTATTTTTTTAGATTATATGCCTTTTAATATGATTACAAAATAATGGCTGTTTCCCCCATGTGGCACAGTATCTTTGTTGTTTAGTTATGGGGTAATTCTTGAGCTGAATCTTGCAGAAGGGTGAGAGGGGGCTGTGTTGATGGAGGAGAAGAGGGGAGGACACTTGGCATGCCCTGAGGGACCCCGTAGAGCCCTGCCCTCCAGAGTCCTGCCTTCCAAGGAGCATCAGGTGGGGCCACAGTGAACAACATCACTTCGTCACCCTCCTCTAAGTTAACCTACTGGATGGTTATAGACTTTTACAGGAAAGGGAGGGGGCACACATCACCCTGGATCTCAGCACCCAGATACAGATGTGTGCTGGTGTGCGCCTGCTGTCCCTTTTCCAGTGGAGTCTAGTCCACGCCAGCACACAGATGTCACTTCCTAGCAGGAATGCAGTGATCTGTGTGCATTGCTGGGCTGCTGATTTTTCACTGAACGTGTTTCTGTTTCTGTGTCCCTGTGCTCACTGGAGGTGCTTGGGAAGGGTTTTCTCTAGATTCACTGCTGTGGATGACCTGAGAGTGTTGTCCTGCAGGTGTCTTCCTAGCGTCCCTGGAAGGAACTGTTGGCTCAAAGGACTTGGATTTCTCTTTTGTAAATTTGTTTCTTCAGATCTAAGTACTTACAGAAATGAGACAAACCCTATTTACAGCTCAGTGAATTTATACAAACAGTCCACTCACCAGATCAAAATAGAGAACATTCCTAGTTCCCTGGGAGACCACAGGGCCTCTGTCATCTTCCATAGCTCCCCTGGGCCTTCTCTCTGACTCCTGCAGGGCAGGGCTGCTGTGTTGTATGGAGTTTGTTTGGTCTCATCACCATTTGCTGTTCTGTCATGAACACACCGCAGGGTATTTGGTTGTCCCCAAATCTCGGGCCTGTTGTTTGTGTGTGTGTGTGTGTGTGTGTGTGTGTGTGTGTGTGTGTGTCTTGGCTCACAGAACAAGTCTCTGATGAGCATGTTCCCACACATGGAGTCACTGTGTGTCTTGTCAGGGAAGGAAGGGTGGAGACGGCCTCAGATGAGGGCATCCTCTGTGGTGTCTGGAGTGTAAGTGCTGGCGGCTCATGGGTGGTCTCTCAGGACCCTGGGGGGAGCCCTGAGAACGGACGTGGCCTGTGTGCTTGTCCCCCTCACCCTCAGTTAGCACACGCTGTGCTCTCTGTGCTCCTGGGGAGACAGCCGGTTTCCCCGCATGGATGTTGGGGTGGATCAGCTGCTGTCAGGCAGCTGTAGACTTGTTCAGCTTTCACTTCTTCATCAGATATCCTTAGTGTCCTCTGGGGCGCCCCCTTGCTCTGGTTTTGGTGATGCTGTGAAGCTTCCATCTTCCTTCCTTTTGGGACGAGGATGGGTATCCTGCAGTCTCACCCAGCAGGCTCTGTGTGCAGGAAAGGTTGGGTATTAAGAGTTGGGTGGATGCTTGCACTGCCCTGTGATTGCAGCCCTGGGCAAGGCTTTTAGCCTCTGATTGCCAGGCTCTCGTGTCTGCATGACATTGGAGATGGTGGAGCTGGTAGTCCACAGGTGGTTGGCAGCATCTTTTACCTTCCTTCCAGAGTCAGAACAGGTGACCCCAAGGTGTTCTGTTTGTTGTTTCAGCTCATGGGACCAGGACTGAGAACCAGGAGGTGACTTCAGGCGAAATGCTGTTTGGGAGAGAACTGGACGCACTCAGGGGGAGTGTTCTTCAGGGACCTGAGCCAGGAGAAGCCCATGAGCGTGTCGGGGAGCCAGAGGGGCACCTGGACAGGCCTGGGGAGCAGAGAGGCCCCAGGCTAGTCACACTGGCCAATGAAGAATGTGGCCTGGAGTCTGGAGGAAACGTCAGGTCAGGGTCAAGGCCTATCCCTGATCAAAGACCTCACAAATGTGATATATGTGAGCAGAGTTTTGAACAGAGATCATACCTTAATAACCATAAACGTGTACACAGGTGCAAAAAAACAAATATAGTTCACGTTTCAGGGGAAATTTTCCCTGTGAATTTAGTTGTTAAAGAAGATCAGAAAATTCCTGTTGGGAAAAGATTGCATTATTGTGGTTGTTGTGGGAAGGCCTTCAGGTACAGCGCTAACCTTATCAAGCACCAGCGACTGCACAGTGAAGAGAAGCCCTACAAGTGTGAAGAGTGCGGGAAGGCCTTCCACCAGAGCTGTGAGCTCATCAGTCACCGGAGGATGCACTCTGGAGAGATCCCCTACCGTTGCAATGAGTGCGGGAAGACATTCAACCAGAGGCCCAACCTCATGAAGCATCAGAGGATCCACACTGGGGAGAAGCCTTACAAGTGCGGCGAGTGCGGGAAGCACTTCAGTGCCTATTCCTCCCTCATTTACCACCAGAGGATCCACACGGGGGAGAAGCCCTACAAGTGCAGTGACTGCGGGAAGGCCTTCAGCGATGGCTCAATCCTCATCAGGCACCGTCGGACCCACACTGGAGAGAAGCCCTATGAGTGCAAAGAGTGTGGCAAAGGCTTTACCCAGAGCTCCAATCTGATCCAGCATCAAAGAATTCACACTGGGGAAAAACCCTATAAATGTAATGAGTGTGAGAAAGCCTTCATCCAAAAAACCAAACTTGTTGAACATCAGAGAAGCCACACTGGAGAGAAACCCTATGAGTGTAATGACTGTGGCAAGGTCTTCAGCCAGAGCACCCACCTCATCCAGCACCAGAGGATCCACACGGGAGAGAAGCCCTATAAGTGCAGTGATTGTGGGAAGGCTTTCCACAACAGTTCCAGACTCATTCACCATCAGAGGTCACACCACGGAGAGAAGCCATATAAGTGTGCTGATTGTAAGAAGGCCTTCAGCCAGGGCACATACCTCCTGCAGCACCGGAGGATCCACACTGGGGAGAAGCCTTACACGTGTGGCGAGTGCGGCAAGGCCTTCCGGCACAGCTCCAACATGTCCCAGCACCAGAGGATTCACCTCCGGGAAGACTTCTCCCTGTGACTGTCTGTGATGTGCTTCCCCCGTGTGACCACCTTCTCTTTACTTACTGTTCACATGGTGTCACAGGTGAACAGGCACTTCTAATTTTAAAAAGCCTCTTTTCTTAAAAGCAGTGCATGTTCATTTTAGAGAAGTTGAGTGGAAAAAGGTAAGCAAAAGGGAGAAGCCCTGTGGCCTACCTTTAGAAAGAGAACTCACCACTATTGCGATCAGTGTAGGTTGTGTCCAGACACTCAAACAACATCCACAAGAGAAGTACTGTGGAACTTGTGAGTGCAGCTCCTGTTTCCTCAGTCCTGGAAAACTCACACTGGAGAGTTCTACGTGTTTATGTGGTTTTACACCTTGTAAATTTAAAAACAGCATGTTGATCATACTTTCCTGTGTCACTTAATAGAGTTGATACTGCCTTTTTGATTGTGGTAATAACATTGTATGTTAGTCACTCAGTCGTGTTTCTTTGTGACCCCATGGATTGTAGCCCATCAGGCTCCTCTGTCTATAGGATTCTCCAGGCAAGAATACTGGAGTGGGTTGCCCTTTCCTTCCCAAGTGAAAACATTACATTTACCATTTTAACTATTTTTAAATGTACAACTCAGTGGTACTAGATACATTCACAGTGTTGTATGACCATCAGCAAATCTGTTTCCAAAACTTTAGTACAGACAGAAACTCTGCACTCTTCCCCTTTTTCTTATTCTCGCTCTTAAGAATTTGCTTACTCTAAAGTACCTCATGTAAGTGAGGTCACACATTTGCCTTTGTGTCCTGGCTCATTTCACTTAGTGTAAGGTCTCTTCATGGCTGAAGCGTACTCCATTGTTTGCAGACACCATGTTTTGTTCACTCATGGTCATCTGTTGATGGGTTACGGGTGTTTCTGCTTGTTGACTTTGTGCATAATGCTGCTGTGAACATTGGTGTACAAATCTGTGCTTGTACTTTCCATCCTTCCAATACTTTGGGATATAATCCCAGGAATAAAGTTGATGGATCATATGGTAATTCTTTTAAGTTTTTGAAGAATGACCAAACTTTCCCACAATGGCAGTGTCATTTTACATCCCCACTGTCAGTTCGCGAAGGTTCCAGTTTCTCCATGTCTTCCTCAATACTTGTTGTTTTCCATTGTTTTGATATTAGTCATCCTGATGAGTGTGAAGTGGTATCTCATTTGCTTTTGGTTTGCATTTCCCTGATGACTAATGATATTGAGCATCTTTTCATGTGCTTATTGACCATTTATTTTTATGTCTTCTTTGGAGAAGTGCCCATTTTTGAATTGGGCTGTTTTTGTTGTTGAGGTGTAGGAGTTCTTTATGTATTTTGAAGGATAATCTTTTTAATTTTCCCTTAAAAAATATTTTATTGAAGTATAGTTGACTTACAATGTTTCAGGTATACAGCATGGTGATTCAGTTATACAGATACACATATTATTTTTGAAATTATTTTCCATCAGAGGTTATACAAGATGTTGACTAGTTTCCTATGCAGTAAACCTTTGTTGCTTGTTGCATGTGTATTTTTTAATTAGAAATCTAGCATTCTATTCATATTAAAGGGGTAATCTTTATCAGATTAATAATACTTGCAAATATTTTCTCATTCTGAGTTTTCTGTCTACTCTCTTGATGGTGTCCTTTCATTCACAGAAGTTTTTAATGTTTATGAAGTTCAGCTTATCTAGGGCATCTCTGGTGGCTCAGTAGTAAAGAATCTGCCTGTCAGTGGAGGAGACGTGAGTTCAACCCCTGATCCGGGAACATGCCCACATGCCCTGGAGCATGCAAGCCTGTGCGCCGAACTCGGAGCTTGTGCTCTGGAGCTCATTAGCCCTAGAGCCCCTGCTCTTCGACAAGAGAAGCAACGAGAGATGCCTGTGCACAGCTGCTCGCTGCAGCTAGAGAAAAAGCCCATACAGCAGTGAAGAGCCAGCACAGCCAAAACAGAAACAAAAACTTACCTGTTTTTTTCTCTTGTTGCCTGTGCTTAGGGTGTCATACTCAGGAAATAATTATTAAATCCAATATTATGAAGATGGGCCCCTATCTTTTCTTCAAAGAGATTTATAGTTTTAGGTCTTATGGTTTGGTCTTTGATCTGTTTTGAGCTAATTTTTTATATATCTTAACAGGTAAGGGTCCAACTTTATACTCTTTTGCGGGTGGATATACAGTTTTCCCTATAACATTTCTTGAAAAGCTTTTTTTACCCCCACCCACTGAATGGTGTGTTAGCTCAGGCTGCCATAATGAAATATCACAGACCAGGTGGTTTAAAATCCAGAAGTTTATTTCTTACATTTCTGGAGGCTGAGAAGCCCAAGACCAGTGTGCTGGCTGATTGAGCTCCCGTTCAGGGTTCTCTCCCAGGTCTAAAGTCCAGCCACCTCAGTGTGTCCTCACTTGGCGGAGAGAGTTGTCAGGTGTTACTTTGCTGGCAGGAGAATGAAGTCTGTGGTTAGAGGGTTAAACACTTCCACCTCTAGGGAGCGGGGATGGGTGTTGGACTGATGGTGTCTGTGAAGGAAGCCTCTACAGAAACCAACAGCGCTTCTGGGTGGTGAGCATGGAGTTCCATGCCTTTCCTCATGCCTGGCACTCTGTATCTCATCTGCCTGTTATTCACATCCTAGTGATAAACTGATAATCTAGTGAGTAAACAAGTTTTCCTATGTTCTGGGACCCACTGGAGCAAGTTAACTGAACCCAAGAAGTGGGTCACGGGAAGCTGATTTGTAGTCAGTTGGTCAGAAATACAGGTAACAACCTGGACTTGCAACTGGTGCGTGAAGCAGAGCTGGGTCTTGTGAGGTTGAGCACTTTCCTGTGGAATCTGACTCTGTCTGGGTAGATAGCGTCATAACTGGGTTGAATTTTGGACATGCTGCCGACATCCAAGAATTGCTGTTGGTGTGAGGAAGCCAAGGTGCGCACACATACACAGAAACACACTCACTCACTCTCTGGAACTGGATCAAGGAATTCCTTTTGCTGAGATGACATAGATTTTGGGCCTAATCAACTCAGTGGGCAGTAGTGCCATTCACTGGAAAGTAGAAGACAGATTTAGGGACTAATCAGATGTTGTGGACATGTCAAGTATGAAATATCTGTGAAACACCAAAGCAGAGATGCAGGCAGGTGGGCTCTGGGTATCTGTCTAGTCAGTTTGGGAGACACTACCAAAGATGGCATCACAGTCACAAGAGAATTAAGCCATCGTGAAAACCCAACTTAATGCAGGAGTCCTGGGACTATCACCTGGAGCAGCTGACATCAGAGCTTGCCCAGAGATTCAATGCTGGTGTTTGGCTGGGATTCTTAGGGCAGGAAGCTACCTGCTCCTCAGAACAAGGCCTGGGCTGCCGGGGGATACACTGGCTCCTTGAGGATGACACCGGCTCAGGAATGAAGGCAATACAAAGGACCAAGCCCTGCGGTGAGAGCCTGGACCCAGCAGTGCCTGACACCACCTCATCTACATTTCCTGTAACAGCATAGTTAGCACACGCTTTTGCTTATCCACATTTATAAGAAATAGTTTTATTACAGCAATGGGACTAAATGGTATGGAGCGCCATACCCCTTGAGAACATCCTTCCATAAGTGAGCGCCAGTGTACAACTGTACAGCTTCCCCACTAACCCTTATTAACAACACCTACTTAGCCTGCTCCTGAGACTGTTGAGAGTCTTCTATAACAGGGGTCCCCAACCCCTGGGCCAGTACTGGTCTACGGCCTGTTAGGAACCAGGCCACACAGCAGGAGATGAAAAGACAGTGAACAAGGGAAGATTCATCTGTATTTATATCCACTCCCCATTGCTTGCATTATGACCTGAGTTTCACCTCCCACCCTCTCTGTGGAAAAACTGTTTTTCATGAAATCTGTCCCTGGTGTCAAAAAGGTTGAGGACAGCTGTTTTACAACACACTGTGAACACTCACTTCAATCTACTGTAGAACCATCTAAAGGAACCTCCCTCTTCTGGCAGGAGGGACATCTCAGCTGAAAACCTGCAAATGGGGTCCTGGGCTTGTCAGCACCAAACATGCAGGTCTCCCATCTGCCCCCAGCATTCCTGGAAAAGTGCTGCACTCCAGAGAAACCCTGCTCCACTGCAGAGGCGGCCACTCTAGAATAGGGAAGAGGCTAAAAGAAATTAAACTTAAACTCTTCATCACGAGTATCCAAGGTGCCCGTAGACCTTCCTTGTGGACGAAGTCTGCAGACCCTTCGGCTCTTCTTTCTGGCCGCCTCACCTACAGGCTGCACCTGGGCTGAGTGGGCAGCTGTAAGGGAAGAGGACAGTATCAGAATTGAATAATAATAGCAAACATTAACTGCCCTGACAACTCTAACCTCACTGTAAATATTAACTTACTGGCTTCTCAAAATTATAAGGTAAGTACTATCATCACACACCCTTAAGAATCACAGATTCACTAACTCTGCCCTTCCTTGCCTCCCTAGTCCAAGCCGGAGTTCTGTGATCTGCTCCCCAGGCATTCTCCTCGTGGCTTTCCTGAGCCCCCTCCTACTGTAGCAGCCCCGCTGCTCGAGGCTTCCCCCTTTCACTGCCCAAGCTTTTCCTCCCGCTCCCTTGAACTAGGCAGTTCTTCATCAACAAGTTCTCAGCTTCTCACCAGTCCTGAGAGCCTGCAGGGCCTCGCGCCACTCGGCTTCTATCTGAGCCCTGTAGTCCCCAAACAAAGAGCGCATCAGCTGCCTCTTCCGGGGTAGGGGTGTTCTCTGGCTGCGCAGGGTTCGGATTGCCCCAAGAGCTTGTTCTTCTGCAGATGAAAACAAAGTACTAGTAACCTCTATCCTCATTTCCAACTGTCCTACCACAAAGGCAACAATTCCATCCCTTGGCAGCATCTGAGGCCATAGGACTGTCACCGTTTCCCTCCCCCAACTCTACAGACGGGCCCTCACTCTGCTTAGGGGTGGGTCTCTGCATCTTCAGTCCCAGCTCCAGCTTTTCCACGCACCAGGCCAGTTCCCGAGCCAGCTGCTCAGCCTGTGATGGATTGTGGATAGTGACTGTGAGCGGGTATCGGGGCGTTGGAGCCTCCAGCCTCATCCCACAGGAACCCAAAACGCCGCATCTCATCCACTTCCGGCTGTAAATCCGGGACCACACCACAGGTGGGCTCCCGCCCAGAATGCGCTCGGGACTTCACCCTTCCCGACTGAGGCCCGCCCTTGCCTGGGCCTCTGCGCTTAGGGGGGCTTCCTCGGGGGCCTGCTTTTCTGGGGTCTTCCCGCCTCCATTGGCAACAGACGCTCCATCCCGGGTTTTCTTCTTTTGCTTCTTGGTCCTCGAGGCAGCGTCACGGCACGTAGGGCGTCCTAAGCAGATGGATTGGATGAGGCCTTCCAGTGGAAGGACTCGGGGCTTTAGGAAGCAGCCTGGGGAACCAGGGGCTGCAGGGTGCACGTGCAGTACCTGGGCCCGGGGCTGCCGCTGTCTCCCGAGCAGGATGTCCTGGAGCCTGGGGAAAGAGGGAAAGAACGAGGGTCATGAGGAGCCGCCGACCGCCCAAAGCCCCGCCACGCGCTCCCCGCCTGCACACCACTCACCGCCATGCGCTGCCGCCGGGACCGAAGAGGGCTGCGGTCCCACGGCGAATGCGCTCCCAGGGAAACGAGTCTGCGTCGCAGAGTTCCGCGGGGCGGGGGCTGTGCGCGCTGTGGGCGGGGCGCGGGCGCTCGGAGCACCGCCTGGACGAGACCCACTCAGGACCTCCTAGGTTGCAGGTGGTCGTGGTGGGTTAGTCGCTCAGTCGTGTCCGACTCTTGCGACCCCATGGACTGTAGCCCGCCAGCTCCTCTGTCCCTGGGATTCCCCGGGCAAGATACTGGAGAGGTTGCACGTACTGCTCTGGATGAAGGGACGCTACTCAAGGGAATGTACCTTTAAGGCTCACCTGCTAGTTGGGCGGGAACAGTGGGAAAACAGGGGGCTTCCCTAGAGGCCCAGCGGTTAAGAACTTGCCTGCCAACACAGGGGACACGGGTTGGATCCCTGGTCTGGGAAGAGCCCACGTGCCCGGGCAGCTGAGCCCCTAGTTGGCAACTGCTGAAGGCGCGGAGCCTAGACCCTGAATCTGCAACAGAAGAAGCCTCCGCAGCGAGAGGCCTGCGGCTGCAACTCGAGAGTAGCCCTTGCTGGCCATAAGGAGAGAAAGCCCGTGTGCAGCAACAAAGACCCGGCGCGGCCAAAAGTACATAAATAATAAAATAAAGAAGGGCCGTAAACAGACACGAATAACTGTCATTGAGAGCGACGCGGTAACAGTGGCCCCAGCACGGCGGGGTCCTCCGAGGAGCTGCAGCCCTGACGGGGCTGGTCTGGCTGCAGGAAGGAGGGCGGGGGCGAGCAGCACGGCGAGGTGGGCGGGTCGCGGGGCCTCCGGCCGCAACTCAGGCGGCTTCTGTTTCAAGAGAAGTGGAAGAGCGGTGGGAGGGGGTCCGGGGGTTGAGGGAACTCCCTCATCCCTCGGAGGAGTGTCGCAGTGTCGCGGCCTTCCCCGGACGGTGCTGTGTGGTCGGCACCATCTCCCTGCGCTTCGAGGCTCCCTGCCCAGGGCCACCCTACTGCACAGCCGCTGTTGGCCCCGCACGACGGGAGTCAGGGACTTCCCTGTGGCTCAGGCGGTAAAAGCGTCTGCCTACAATGCTGGAGACCCGGGTTAGATCCCCGAGTTGGGAAGATCCCCTGGACAAGGAAATGGCAACCCACTCCAGTATTCTTCTTGCCTGGAAAATCCCATGGACAGAGGAGCCTGGTAGGCTACAGTCCGTGATGTCACAAGGGTCGGACACGACAGAGAGACTTCACTTTCCCTTTCTTTCACAGGGGTCAGGAGGACGGGAGTACGCGGTGCAGTTCATCATTCCTGTCAGTGAAATGTGGGTCGCTTCCTGAGGCAAGAGGATGGGCGGTATCAGAAAGCAGACTTTGCTCATCCCGATAGTTCCTTCAGTTTATTTTTTTAACCATTTATTTATTATTTTTGGCTGTGCTGGGTCTTCATTGCTGCAGGGGCTTGTCTCCAATGGTGCTGAGTGGGGACTACTCTCTAGTTGTGGTTCATGGGCTTCTTATTGTGGTGGCTCCTCTTGCTCTGGACCGTGGGCTCCTGGGCTCTAGAGCGCAGGCTCAGTAGCTGTGGTGCGCCGGGTTAGCTGCCCAGCGCAGGTGGACTGAACCTGTGTCTCCTGTGTTGGCAGGCAGATTCTGTACCACTGAGCCACCAGGGGAGCCCGTTTCTTTAGTTTTTAAGTAAAACTAAAAGACACATTTCCCATTTTCACCGAGGACTTTATTGAACAATTTATTCAACGTTTTGTTCCACTACCGTCTGCCATTTTTTCAGGCAACTTCATAATTTCATCTTCCTAACCATTTTATGTTTTGGAGCAAAGAGTTGTTCCAGGTGACCTTTTTTTTTTTTCAGGTGACTTTTACAGTCTTCCAAGGAATAGAAATTTTTTTCCATTAAGAGAATATTGTACATCTGTATACCTATGACTGATTCATGTTGCTGTATTGCAGAAAACAACACAACATTGTAAAGCAATTATCTTCCAATTAAAAATAATAAAAAATAATTTTGTAAAGACCAAAATAAATGGAAATCTGAAGGTGCAATGTCTGGTGAACACGGCAGATGAATCAGAATGTCCCAGCCAAGCTCTAACAGTTTTTTCCTGGTCATCAAAGAAACATGCAGTTTTGAATTAACCTGGTGGAAGATTTTGCATTTTCTGTTCACTAATTCTGGACACTTTCTGTCAAGTGCTGCCTTCAGTTTATCTAATTGGGAGCAGTACTTGTTGGAATTAATTGTTTGGTTTTCTGGAAAAATCTCATAACAGATGACTCCCTTCCACTCCCATCACATACACAACATTACCTTCTTTGGATGAAGACTGGCCTTTGGTGTGGTTGGTGTTGGTTCATTTTGCTTGCCCCAAGAACTCTTCCATTCCACATTAAAGTATAGTATCCACGTTTAATTGCCTGTCACAATTTGTTTAAAAACAGAAAGTTTTCATTATGTTTAAGTAGAGAACCACATGTGGAAATATGGTCAAGGTTTTTTCATTTATGTGGAACCCAAACATCAAAGTGATGAACATAACCAAGCTGGTGTAACGGATTCTCAATGTTTGATTTGGATATTTTGAATGAGTTGGCTATCTCCCCCATGCTGTAATTTGCTTGTTCTCAGTTAATGTTCTTAATTTGATTGCTGTCAACTTCAACTTGTCTCCCCTACTGTGGAGCATCATCCAGAAAGAAATCTCCAGCACAAAACTTCACAAACCACTTTTGACACATTCAATCAGTCCCAGCACCTTCTTCAGATACTGCAAACAAAATTTTTTTTTTTGTATTTCAGTTGTGTTTTTACCTTTTTTGAAATTATAAAGCATAATAGGCCAAAAATGTTGCTTTTCCCCTAACATCTCTAATATTAAAATGGTTACACAAAAAATTACTGACTTCCCTAGTTGTCCAGTGGTTAAGACACTGTGTTTCCACTGCAGGAAGCACAGGTTTGATCCCTGGTTGTGATCAAGGAAGTAAGATCCTACATTCTTCTCACAGTGGTTGAATAGAGAAAAGAAAAATTTACCAATTTTGGTAAGTTGTTTTAAATGCACACCCATACAACAGCTGTCACAATGCAATCTAACAAAATTGCTTATAATGAAGTTAAAGACAACTAAGCACTACTAGAGCCATCTTATGGAAAAAACTGAATGAACTTTTTGGCCAACTCAAAAAGCTAACATATTAGGTATTTATTGAGAGGTAATGAATTACCAGGAAATGTAGCAGATTGAAAATATCAAACATTCATTAACTCATAGTTTCTGAGAATCAGGAATCTAGCAAAGCATAGCTGGTTGGTTCTAGCTCAGTCTTTCTCTTCAGTGAGTAATACCAAAGACGTTTTACGTGTTTTTTATTTTAATTTATTTTTTGGTAGACATATTTTAAAATAACCACAGTTAGGATGTCTTTAAGTTCTGGGAAACGAGAGTTTTGGAGGTGAGTAAATTCCAGATCCTAAGGGGGTTTTCCCTGCTTTCTTTGGCTGTGAAATCTCTTTATGACTTGGCCCAGAACTACTTCCTGCAGAAGCCTTCTTAGCCGAGACATGTGTGCCTGAACTTGGGCCTCACTCCAGATGATGCTTCTTTTTTTTTTTTCATTTGTTTTTATTAGTTGGAGGCTAATTACTTTACAAGATTGTAGAGGTTTTTGCATACATTGACATGAATCAGCCATGGATTTACATGTATTCCCCATCCCGATCCCCCCTCCCACCTCCCTCCGCACCCCATCCCTCTGGGTCTTCCCAGTGCACCAGCCCTGAGCACTTGTCTCATGCATCCAACCTGGGCTGGTGAT